TTCACAAATGTTTCCTGGGTCATCATGTGTCAAATTCTGCCTGGTTAGTTTGTAAATGTAGCCTGAAGCAACATTCACATGCAGGACACTGAGGGTCTGTGGTCACTGAGGCTCCATCTGTTAACACACAATGTGATATAAGAGCAACATCTTTATTAATGTGACATTCAAATACTGTAAAAAAAACAACCCCTTTCTGTTTAAATTTGGTTTGTAATTTAAAAAATATATATTTAACATAAACATTAATGACTCTCGCCAGTAGGTGGCAGAATAATCTGTCTGTTTGCTGATTAAACAATGACTGTAAAACTTTTTCTACACAACAAATGTCTCCACAGCATAACACTTGACAAAGACTCCACCAAGTTCATCCTGACTGTCAACTTTTATCTAGGACAAACCCAAATTAGGACGGTATAAAGGAGCCTTTAGCATTATTTACTGCCACTTCCAAAGGTTGGACAGTCATCTCTAATGCCACATTTAATAAAAAATCGGTTGTGACGCTGAGACGCTGCATCTTTTGTAAAGGTTGAATGCCTTTTTGCAGCCCGCAGCTTGTTCCCCTGCTGGATTTTATCGATGCAGAAAAAGGGGGATTCTGATAAAAGAAAATGCAGAATGCCCATGCTGAAACAATAAACATGGACATCAACACTAATAAAAGGCCACAGCTAAGAGACCTGTAGAGGTTACTGCACTGTTAAGCACTGTTTAATGCTATGAAGGCCACCTGCAGTTACATTTACATCTGTGGACAGCTGATGTGATGCCACGCAGGACAGCGGGCCAGACAGATCCATGGCCCGACGCCCAGAACTGTGCTGCTCGGTCCCGAGGCTCAAACTGTGTCCCAACCTGCTCCTCGTATAACCTCTTCAGCCGCGTCCACAATCACAGACAACACACACACGCTTTAGAAAACCACAAGTCGACATTTCGGATCCCAGTAGCCTCCTATTTATTCCTTATTTGGGTTATGTAACGCGTAGCACATTCCTGATCCATCTGTGATTACACTGAGGTGCGATCACAGATGGATACTTTCATCTGCTGTCAGCTCCATGTTGTCTAACTGTCAGCTTTGTTTACAGATTGCTATATTGGATTTTTTTCAGTCTTAAATGTGTCCCTTTCACCTTTCCATGAAAGGATGGTAATGTGTGAACATACATCTTAAGATAGTGCAGAAAAAGACATTGTGCATCTGTATAAAATGTAGGATGTGTGAAAGAAAGATACGTAATAATTCTCAGCTTTAGCAGCATACATGCAGAGGAAAAATGTCTGTTCTTTTTTCAATTTGAAAAGTAATAGATGTTGTTCTTTTTTTCTGTTTCTATGAAGAACATCTGAGCAATTAAAACTGTCTGCAAAGATGCAGCTTGACTCGTATTAGTGTCTTGTAACAGCACAAATTAACAACGTTAAAATATTACAACTTCCTCATATTTGCATATTTGAGTGGGGATACATGGTTCTGTGAGCATCCAGTTTGTTCAACCCCCTGCTGCGGATATATGATTTATCTCAGTACCGCACATACCTCCTATTCCTAAGCAGAACTGAATGTTGTTGAAAATCCTCTGCAGGAGACATATTTGTTGTGCTGTGCTGAGTTGCAGCTCCCTCCGTGCTTTCATTAGGAGCCCTGTTAGCCCGGTACCCTTCAGCCTGCACTACATCAGCACCTTAACAGGAAACAGACAGCAACATAAATATGAGCAGGAATACTGAACACCTACAAATAACAGCATCTCATCTGCTCGGTGAGAGTTTCCAGCAACATCACACTCCGCCCAGTAATTACCTGTTTCATCCCACGGACATACAGAAGCACACTTCATTTTGATTTATCTGTTATTTGGCGTTTAAGCTGCACAGGGTGTGACTCTGCATTTTACTGAGACTGAATCACTCTCTGGATCCTGAGTCTATCACTGCACTACTCGAGGAGGGATAATCAAATCCTGCTGCACGCCCAATTTGGATGGATCAGGGTTAAGGGGAGAGCAGAATAATTCATAGACCCCCGAGCTCACTTCTCTGTCCAAGGTGAAGGTAGACCCCAATTATTTATTTATACCACCTCCCCTCATCAATTCACTCATTAAGCCTGCGTATCATTAAGGTTAGTTTCCATTTTATGGTTTGAAATTCATAACATTTTCTGTTAATCAACACTTTTATGCCTTCCAGTTTTTTTTGGATGGTGTTTTCATTACTTTTAAAAGTGAGAATGCTCTGGGGAAAAACAACTGTGTCTACGATCGTTCCAGTCTAGAGGTGAGAAAAATAATATATACTCAGCGAATATAATTAAGAATGTGGCCATTTGGTCTTCCAGCATCTTCTAATTGAGTCGTGATTTTGTGGACTTATCTCTATGTGCTGAATTCTGCCTGAGAATATACAATTAAACATAACAACGTCACCTGAAAGCAAAGTCACAGAATGTCTGCGTTGCCTTGTGAGCAGCACAGGACAAGCTGTTTCAGTGAATTACTAAAATAACAGCTGACACGCTTTTATTTCTTTGACAGTTCCTCATGAATTTTTTGCACTAACAAGCTCAGGAAAGAAATCATGAGGCTAGCCCGAGCTGTTTTTCCCAGTGCACACTAGTGTACCTGGATGTTCCAGAGGACGGGATGTTTCTGCTTAGTTTAATAGTTTGTTGGAATGGACTCCACTTGTAGACAAGAAAAGTGTCTCTTCTTTTTACTTTCTTTTTTTTCTAGAAGGGTTTACAAGGTATGCTTTTGCATAATTTATAAAACAAAAACACTGCGGGAGAGGAGGTAAAAATCAAAACAATAATAAAGTCTAAATTCTTCATGAGAACCAAACTTGAGTCACCTTGAACATCAGGCACCAACTATTTTAAAAGAACAGTTTGAGGGGAATGAGCGCTGTGTACATGAACAACACGTACAAATAAAGACAGGCGCTGCATGATCTCTTAAAGATTCTTCATCAAAACATTTTGGGAAATGAACGCCTGTGTCTCTTTAATATAATTTCATTTATACATCATGATATCATGATAATGGGCTTTGAGTGGTTGAAACCTTTTTCTTACATGGACACCTTTTACAAAGGGATTATAAACTGTAGTTAATATGTTTATTTATAATAAATACACAAGTTATTAAGGTTTTGTAGATAAGTCATGCGCCATTTATGAACTCCGGGTTAGGTTGCCAGTTTCCTGAAAATCCTTCACTTGTGGAATTTATAAACAGAGAGCCTCAATAACCCAAATAGGACATTCATAATAACAGCTTCAGACACATATGTTCTACTAGGAGTGAACTGATAACATAACAACAGTACAACGTGTGGTATCAAACAGAGAATAAACAGGGTATTGATGTGCATGGATGGATAACTGTTGACGCTGGATCTCTACATTGGTGTGAGTGAGCAGAGGAGACAAAACTTCTCTTAAAAATTGCAACTAAGATGAAGTATTAAAATTAGAACCACTTCAAATGTACTAATATCTAACTTCACACCTGATATATTTAAATGTTCAGAACTAAAGGTATATTGGGTTTTTTTCTCATTTAAAAATGTAAAAAAAAAAAAAAAAGCTCTTATATTTTACCATTACATAACTGTTCTCTACACTGTCAGTATCTTTAGTGTTTTATTGCATACTGACAGTATTGGTCCAATATACAGACATGTAAAGTATTAAAAAAATCACAACTACAAAGTCTTTATGAAATCCATCCGATCAGTTGTAACTGAAGATATGATCTCAAATGTTGGATTGTGTCAACAAAACGCTCCTATAACATTGCTCCAGCTGTGGTGAGCTCCACAGACCTGTGAGCCCATCAGGTGGAAGTGCAGCTGAGATGAAGCAGCTGGATCTGCTCCCTTCGTTCATTACTGACAGAGCGCTGCAACTGATTACACTGATGGATCAATAAGTGCAATCAGCGCGGTAATGATCAACATACAGAGAAAAGCGATTCCAATGAACAACGCTAAATTACCCGAGGGATGATCCGAGGTGATCACTGAACGGTGAACAGTACATAAACGTCGAGGAGCGACGAGTGCGCGTGTGATTGAACTGTGTGCGCGTGACATGTATCTGCAGAACTTCAAGCTTTCACACACACAGAAGGAGGGAGAGAGAGAGAGAGAGAGAGAGAGAGAGAGAGAGAGAGAGAGAGACGGGGGGGGTTGGGGGCGGCGGCAGTGGAGCTGAAGATGCGCTAGACGGCGCCTTCAGAATAAAATTCAATACTGGTGTGCTGTGCAGTAAATGAGGAGACGAGCGCGCTAAACGGAGCCTAAACCTGGAGAGAGGCTCTTCTTGCACGGCTTGTTTAACTCAGTGGGTCTTCAAATCTCCACTGAAGACATTCAGACATATAAAGGATCACATACAACACATGTTTTCTGCTGTTTTTTGGGCTGAACCCACGATCTAAAGCAAATGTAAAGTGAATAAAACAGGACACAAAAATATGCTCTATAGCCTTCTGGTGATAAAACTCTTAAAGTGAACTGTCAGCTGCTCATACCCACGTTTAAACAAACTTAAATTAAAATAAGCATACTCTTATTTTTATTTAATTCTACGGAGATCAGCATTAAAGCCTTGACCTCTGGGTTAATCTATTGATCCGTTTAAAAGAATAATCTAATTTCCATGTACATTTTGCAAGCATCAATTTCCGTTTCTGCCCCCGACTCTTTTTTAAATTTTTTATTTAATTATTAAATAATTATTGTGTTGTGGTTGTGCTTGTTGTGGAATGTGTAACCGTCGGTGTCAGTGCTAGACACAGCACCTTGCTGGCGTTCAAAGGAGAAAAGGGTGAAAAAAGAGGAAAAGGGGGAGATCATTTCCAATCTTGCGCTGTGGGAGGGGAGATCCGTGCAGCCAAGAAGCACGAAAGGAGGAAGAAGAAAAGTGGGAAATCTGTGCAGCCCACCGGAGTCTCATTCAGCACCACTCGCTTCTGGACAGCGTCTGAGCAGCAGCAGCGGCAGCATGAGCAGCTGAGGAGTTGATCGAGAAACAGGAGATTTGTTTAAAAACCTTGAGTCTGGACTAGGAGTAACAACACATCTGCACACAACCAACAAGTCTATCTATTTCAAACCGGCTTTTTTTTTTTTTTTTTTTACTTCCAACATCTGTATTCGTCTTTTTTCTCTTTTCTTTAATTCCATTCGTGCGGTGGGTTTGGCGACGAACAGGAGGCTTACTGGAGCTGGCGGCGCCAAACAAAGACGCAGAGAGGGGAAAAAAAAAAGAAGAAATAACAAGAACTTGATGACATCAGAAGTTAATTTTCAACACTTTAGGATCACTTGTTTCAGGAGGATTTTAAGGTAAGCGTGTTTTTCTGTGTTTCAGATAAAGAACATCGAGGTTTAGGAGCGGAACGACAGTCGTGTATCACATTTACGCAGCTGTGTTGTGGCTCCTATCTGAGATTGTGCTAATGCAAATATGTTACTCTGATATTATAGGAATGCTGGTGTGCTTGAAGGGGTTTATATTTACATTTTTGTACTCACAGCATTCTGAGGGGACTTTTACAACCCTCTTTATGAGTATCTGTGCGTATGCGTTCTTTGGGGCTGCTGTCCCCATTTGTGCTCAACAGATGAATCACCTTTCACTGACAGGATTTTGGAGGCTGACGTTTCTCGAAGTGTGTGTGTGTGTGTGTGTGTGGGGGGGGGGCTTGACAATGAACCCTTTCATCAGCTGCGAGAGACCCCCACTCTCTCTGCTTTCCGCTCCACTTTGCTCGTCATCCCCCCCCCCACACACACATACACACACACACATACACACACACACACACACATGCAAGCCAAACCGAGCAGTATGAGCCTTTAGTCGCCGCAGACATGAAAGCGGACGCTCATTTTTAAACTAATGCACTTCAGTAAAGTCAGGGAGCATGAAGGTGGAAATCCTAAAGACGCGCCGAAATGCGCGCGCGCGCTCCCCGGCATGAACCATCACACACAACATCCCAGAGACGCCCCGGTTGTAAGATGGCTGGTGAGCCTTTTCGTTAGACATGTCAGGGAGGCGTTTTTACTAATGCTTCATATTCTGAGCATGAAGGTGGAAATCCTAAAGACGCGCCGAAATGCGCGCGCGCGCTCCTGCCGGCTGGTTTGTATGAATCCATCATCACACTGAATCATTTCCCAGAGACGCCCCGGTTGGTAAGATGGTCTGGTGACGCCTCTCTTCGTTATGCATCACTGTCAGGGAAGGCGTTACTTGCTGCTCATATTCCTGCAGCTCGTAGGCTGTTGAACACATGATGGTTGTTTAAATGTGTTTAAACATTCATGTGTTTTATCACGTGACGATCTTTGCAATGGATTCGAGAGGAACGTGCATAGAAAGATTTGTAGGAAGAATCAGTGTACAGACATCCTGGAGTGATAGGAGTCATCTTATTTTGAGATGTCTGTGCACTTCAAGACACGGGATTGGTTCTGTCCCTTCTTCTCTTATTTTTTTAATTGTCTCTTTTTTTGTTTTCTTTCGACATCCCTCTGGATTTCTACTTCAAACGCATCACTGGATTTCAATTAGCAGAGATGAATGAAGTGAGGTGAAACTCTTTAATTTCAGAACTTCATTTGACACCAAATAAACACACAAGGGTGCAACTCAAGTATGAAGACAACCCACAGTATACAGAGATTATATTGTTGGTCCTTAAAAAGCCATTACAAGAAGTGCCACTTAAAAACTATTTGCACCATTTCATTTTGTCTTTGCAAAAACAGACGTGGGTGCATTTTCAAGCCCTAAAACAAGAAGGTTCGTCACCGATTTTGTGTGTCACAAGTATTTATTTTCACAGTGAAAAGACAAGACAGGAACACTGAATCTGTGCAGTCCTCCTGGACCCTTTGAGCTATCATGCTGTCTGCAGAGTCCATCTCCATCAGCAGTCATCATACATGTGCACTACTAATTAACTAGGAGGATGAACACATCTTGAAGGCAGTCTATTACTTGCAGATAAGGTCAAGTGGATTGTACAGAATGTTATCATAATGAAAATGTTCTATTCAGGAGCTTTTAAGACATCCTGAAAAAAACATGTTTTTCTTAGTCTGGCTCAGTAGCCTTCATCTGAGCATTTTTGAGTTAATAATCCTGATGTTCCTCCTTTATCCATGCTCAGCTTCATGCTGCCTGCAGTTACCTAAATGTCTGTTTGGTCTCCCTTAAAGGGGATACCTGAACAGTATTCTGTAACTTTATTAATGGAACAGGACTTTATTCAGTACTTTTCTTCATTAACAACTTCGTCCCAGAAACACAAAAAAAGGTCTCATTAAGATGCAAAGCTTGGAAAAGCTCCAACAAACAGAGCGACTGTCAGCACAAAGCTTGTTACTTGTAACCTTTCCATCCAAATGAGTATCCTTGTACTTAAATCTGTTCCACACCTAATAATGTTCCCCTTGTAGCCAGAAAATCACCCAGGATATGTTTACTGTCATTTCCTCTCTCTTTGGTAATTCATTTTCCATGCTGCGGTGAGTTAGTGTGACATAGGAACAGGCCCAGATAAATTATTTTCCTCTGTCGGCTCCTTTTTTCCTTTCAGACCAGAGCATACGTCAGCGCACAAATTCACAGGAATCAAGACAGACAGACGGAAAGGTGGAGGATCATTCTTTTGCCTGTGTTGAGGGAGTTTTAGATATCCATTCCTCTGTTGTTCCTTATCACCGCCTCTTAATCGCAAACTGCCCACACTCTGGATCGTCTCCTCCTGGCCGTCCATCTGTTTTTTTTTTTTTTTGGGTGCTGTCTGTGTCTGTGCTGACCACAGTCTGATGATCTCCATAACCACCGCTGATCCATTCCTCACACTCTCAACACAATCCTATTTTCCAAACTGCTGATTCTTCTTCTTCTCTCTGATCCTTTAACAAGCTTTCCTTTTTATAGGGCTTTGTCATTTCTGCCACATGTGTCTTTTGCTAAAATAGCTTTATTTCAGGCTCCGGCCTGCAGAAATTCATACATTTTTTTGGTGCAAAAAGTTTTTAAAAAGTTGAAAAGCTCTTGTGTCTGAATCCCCATGCTGCAGGTAAACTCTCTTCCCACAGAGTCAGAGGGTGTTTCTGGGTCCGGCCTCCAGGTTGAACGTCCTCATTAGACGCCTGTTGACACTAATCAGAGGTGACATCCACGAGCACTCAGGTTAATTTACAAGATTTACGACACAAACAATGGAGCAAATAATCTTTCCATCCCACCCAGGTATTCCTCATCCTAATAGAGACACATGTGACAGGGTGTCGGATTAATCTTCCTTTTATAAAGGTTATAATGCTGCATGCTGTCCTCAGCAGAACTGCATCTCAGACTTTAAAAAGTTCTCCCACTTGACAGGTAGAGTTTATTCTAATGATTCAAGAGCAGAGTAGACCCCTTTTACTTTGACATGTGGTGTAACTCAGGCAGTGTGATGTTTTGGCGGAGCATCAGTGAGATAAAGTACGAGTACTAACAGTTAAGAGTTCAGTGTATAAATAACTTTTATCTTGTCCTAAATAACTTTATCCTCTTTGTGTTGTTTTAGTTTAAGAGATTTGATTCAAAATGCAGGACGATTATTAAAATAATTACAAACTATATCACTCACTAGTAGGTGTGAAGCTACAGAAATCTTAAAATCATGCTTCTTCCACTGGACAGGGGATAATTGTGTCGCTACTATTGCTGTCATTGATTGCAAATGACATCACCTGTTCAATACTTCCCTTTACATTAATGTCTTCCTCTCTATTTCCTGGTTCACTTCCTCGGTTTCGATTGGCTTTACTCTGAACAGTCAGGAATAGTTAAAGTTCAAGATGAAGAGCGTTTCTAAAAATGTATGGGGAGCTGGTTTAGCTCATCTGGTAGAGCAGGCGTCTCATGTACAGAGGCTGCAGTCCTCAATGCACTGGTTGCTGGTTCGACTGTCAGTCTGTGACCATTTGCTGCACATCATCCCCCGAACTCTTTTCCACACCTTAGCCGTCTCTCTTTAACTGCCCATGAAATGACAAAAAAAATCTCAAATAAGCAGACAGACAGACAATCTAAGACAATGAAAGAAGCTTTCAAATACTAGTTATTTAAATTTACATGCCCAAGACGGAGTGTGAAGAACTTATTATATAAACTTTAATTAATTAATGAAATCACCCCCTTCTCCATGAATCATTCTGTCAGTTTGTTATTTTTATACAAAAAGAGTAAAGTCAAACGCTCACCTGTTGAGTGTGTGTCTTGAGATTGGGATTTCCATTATAAAGAAATAAAGAATTAAAGCAAATTCCAAATGAAAACTTCACTTGAACAGGTCGCCAGTGGCCTTGTGGTTAGTTTGTGCGTCTCATGTACAGAAGCTGTGGTCCTCGAGGCGGGCGGCCTGGGTTCGGGTCAGGTCTGCGGCTCCCTTCCCGCATGTCTTTGCCCCACTCTCTGTCCTTGATTTCTGTCTCTATCCGCTGTCCTGTCACTACAATAAAAGCATAAAAAGTCCAGAAAGATAAACTTCACAGGAAGTTTGTGTGTAGTTCAGCAATTTAAAACAAACTAAGTCAGTTTGACGGATGTGTCTTCCCTTTCCTATGATGCTCAAATACATGCACACAATAAAGCTCAGATTGGTGATGACTGACGTTAGGGTAAACAAGATGTAACTGTTAGGAATGATCAAAGGTAGAGTTTAAATGTTCACTTCTGCACACTATAACAGACTCTAGATTTATCTACGAGAATTCAAAGGAAAAGAGCTATGAGGTCCTGTGTTACAGTCAAACATTTTGGCTTCCCATCAATCAGCTTTGATCTTTTCTCTCTGTGGACTTACTTAGTGGCTCTATATATGGAGTCGTTCTAACTTCAGCCAGGGCTTTTTTATTTTATTTCAGTGTACACATGATGTTTTTGTAAATTAGCATTTGGTCAGCTGTTGAAAACACATACTCGGCTTGTTCTGTTTTAGCTTAAAGATATTAAAGCTACCAACTTTAGCTGTTTTTCTTTGGTTTTCTGTTAGCCACATAGCTGTACTCAGTGGTTAATGTGACATCTTTTTCCAGGCACACATTTATGACCCACTGAAAACAGCTTTCTGACCAACGTTTGGGTCACCAGTTGAGAACTATTGGCCTAAACTATAGAGTTTTCTAACTCTATATAAACAGTGTTTTTATTAAGGACAATTCAAGTTTCCTGCCACCTTAGTTTAAAGTCATCAGCTGGTGAAGTTCAGATTGATTGGGATGGATTAAGAAGTGTTAGCCAGGAAATGAGTGTAGAAATGAGTGGGCAAATTATC